CGGGGCGAAGGAGGGCAGGAAGGCAGGCCCGGGGCACCCCGGTGACAGGAGCGACTGGGGGACCCCCTAAGGGTGCGGGGGGATATACGACTCTGAGGGACCCCTGAGGGTGGAGGAGGGGGCAACGGGCCTGGGCGCGCTCGGGGTATGGCGGGGGCCAGTCTACCGGGTGTCTGGCGGTTTCTGGAGGGCACGGCAGGGCACGGCAGTTCGCTTCCGTTTCCCCCCTGGCGGTGGGCAGCGGTCTGTGGTGCCTCCCCAGCTGCCGGGGGGCGTGAGGAGGGGTATCCGCGCCCCCGCAGGGATCTGCACACTGGTGGCTTTGCCGCAGTGAAGAGCTTGGGAAGCTGCAGGGATTGAAACGGCTGTCCTGCTGAGCACGCCCGCAGAGAGTGAAACTGGGCTGAGGCAGTATTTGTAACTGACTGAGAAATGAACCTGGCACCTGCTGCACCGCTGCCCTTAGAGGTCATTGACCAGGTTCGTTGCCATACGTTCTGATTCTGCTAGGGTGGGGGATTATTTTAAATCTTGTGATTTGTTTCAGAGAGCAGTACAGAGGGAGGGCATGCGCATGGTCAGCCTGTGGTGATCCTTCTAGGGTGGGCAGGTTGCCAGGACAAACACCTGGCCAAATACAGCACAATCTACAGCCAGAAGGTGAGTCGCTTGTTTATATTTTCATGACACTGGGCTACAGCTCTCTGAGAAACTTACTTCTTTTCTACATACTGTTAAAGTCACTCCAAAGCCTTGCTCTGAAGAGTCACTTTAAGTGAGAGGTGAGCTCTCTCTTGTCATTGAAAGCTCCTTGTCTCTTGGAGCCCAGGCAGCGTTATCTAACAGTTGCTGATGTCATCGTTGTACGTGCAGCTGAGACAAAAATACTTCCTTGGATAGACTTTCTGCTGTTTTATGAATCACTGGGGTATTTTAAGGCTTTTAAATTTGTGTGATTATTCAAGAGTGACGTGAGCTGTGTTAACTTTCCAAACAGATAAACACCTGTGGAAAGATTACGTGTTTACTGGTCTCTAATAGGCCACAGCACAGTCTTGGTGAGGTCAGGCTGAGGACTGGCAGAGCACGTCAGCATCTGTAATTTCTTTGGCTTATCTTTCCTTTTAAGATGATTCATGTAAGTGTTGTAATTCAAGTTAATTCTGTCCCGTCCATGAAGCAGGCACCCTATGGTAGTCATACGTGTGCACTAGCAGCTCCTTGTGTTTGAGCTAAGGAGGTCTGTCCAATAGCTGGTTCCCAAAATTGTATTTTCCTTTTGAATACTGTATTTTGCTGGAATGACCCCAGCTTGTTGTATGGGGACCCAGTGGAATATCAGACTTTTTTTTTTTTTGTCAGCTTATGGGGATCTTGTATTTATCCAAATCTGTTTCAACTATAGGTGGCAAAGTTTTTACAGTAGCAAGTCAATTGTTAATGTGTAATCCAGTGCAAGAGTCATGAATTGGCTTGTTCTAGTAAAGAATTAATTGTTAATGGACTGTTGCAACTGAGATACTGCTGAGCAGAGGAGGAGTGCGTTACGTGGCACCATGCCAGCTTCTTTGAAAGTACTTTTCTATCAGAAAGGTGATAGGAATGGGAAAGGAGAGAAAGGGCTTTCTTAGCTCCCTAATGAGGAAGTGTCTGCAACTGTGGCAAGACGGGACAGAAGACTTTAGGAACTTGATATTCTCTTCTTCCTCATTCACTGTTTAAGGAGCTCTGGGCTGTGTTGGTGGCCTTGCGTCAATGTGTAATGTCAGTGAGGTTTGGTGATAGAAAAGATTGAAAGCATTTGTAAATATAGTTCTGTCTGCTTGATTTAGAAACTCCTCCAAGGTCCTGTTTCCCAGCCTATGCCTAAATGCAAGGCCTTAAATGCAAAGGCGATAGCTTAGGTGTTCTGAATCCCTGAACCAGTGCTCTTCGTTTGCACAGCTGGAGGATTTCAGAAGGGCTTATGAAATTATGTCAGTCATAGAGACAGCTGCAAACAAGTGCTGCCCAAGGACAGGAAGGAGTTTCTTTTCCTCCTTATGCTTGTTTCCATGTCATGAACTAGATGTGTACCAGAGCAGGCCCTTCTTACCAAAATGGCTGATGCTGAAGGTGTGTGGATCGGGAAATGGTTTTCTGTTCCTGGGTGAAGACTTAACAGTCGTAAAAGCTTGGGTAGCACTGTTCCCCAGGCCTAGGCCAGTCAGCACAGGACCGGAAGGGATCTCAAACATCTTCAAATCCAGGCCTCTGCTACTGCAGAAACCTTTTCATAGTCATGTGTGCTGTGGTTATTAATACAATCCTATTCATATTGGTGCCTTGCTGCTGATGCTAAAGGCTTTCCTCTGGCCCTCTGTTGTCCGTTGGAAACCTGTCCCAAATATTCACATTCTTTGTACTGACGCTTGCCCACTCCGTGTAATTTACAGCACAGCCTAAATGCGTGTGGGGTCTCTGTCTGTTCTTAGGGGTGCGCCGTCATCCGCTACACGGCCCCATGGAGGATGGTATTCTTCTCCGAGACCTTTGGCATCAGATCCCTCCAGACCCCGGCCCGGCGACTCTTAGAGCTGCTCTTCGACTGCAGCGTGGAGAACAGACCGGTTCTTTTTCACGTTTTTAGCAACGGTGGTGCCATGCTGTACCGTTACGTCATCGAGGCGCTCCACACTCACAAGCCGTTTAAGAACATCCAAGTAGCAGGCACCATATTTGACAGTGCCCCTGGCAGAAGAAACTTGAGAGGAGCCCTTCGTGCCTTGGCAACTGTCTTGGCGTCCACGAACGTGCTGCTGAGGTATTTCCTCCTGGTGGCTTTTGCGACGGCGGCCGTGGTGCTGCGGACCCTGCTGTACCCGCTGACCCGCCTCGTGCACCAGAGCCACTACGACGCCCTGCTGCGGGCGCCCTCGCGGTGGCCCGAGCTCTACCTCTATTCCCAAGCCGATGCCATCATCAAGGCCAGCGAAGTTCAGCACATGGCCGATGCCCGGCGGCAGCTCGGGGTCGCCGTGAAAGCTGTGGACTTCTCGGATTCGGCTCACGTCAGCCACATGCGGGTGTATCCCACCTATTACAGCAACCTCTGTGCGGCTTTCCTGTCTGACTGCGCCGGGGGCTCTCCCCCTTAGTCGTGCCATGACCTCCGGTATTGGCCCCTGCTTTCCTCGGCTCTGTAGGAAATGTCACCCCCTTGCCTTTGTGGCATTGGACGGAGGAAAGTGGAGACAACACAGCTTTCTGTTGGCTTGTTTGTCGCTACGTACAAGCCTGAAAGCCTCCAGGCTGGCCTTTGGGTCAGACACCTTATAGCAGAAAGTAGCTATGGATTAATTTAAAGTACTGAAGATGAAGTCCTAACAGGGTTGAAGTGCTCTACCAAGGTGTCACAGACCAGAATTTCACACAAAGTGTTATTTGCTTCTTCCTGTCTCCTATTGTTTTCTGCTTTCCATGTTGTCTCCTTGTCCCTGATGTCTGATGTACGTGTTCTGTTGCCTTGAGCAGATTTTACAATACAACTCTTCCATGTCTTTATTGTTTCTTTCCTATCTGCCGTTTCTTTTATCTCGCAGTGAGCAAACAAGCAACTCTGCAGGTCTTTCTCTTCTCTTGGTACTCCTCAGCTCTCATTAGACTCCTTGCTGGAGATCAGGCCCAGAAACCAACTGTAAGAGCTGAAAAAGGTGTGTGCAGGGCAATATGACCAGGCTGTCCTCTGGTTCCATTGAACAGCTGAGTCAGAGCAGTCAAAGCTCTGATCGTTGGTGGGAGCTCAAATGTTTGTGCTGAGTTTTGTGTTCTTCAATCAAAGGATTTAAGTTAACCTTTTTGCATGTGTCTTGTGTTTTGTTTCTCTTCCTTCCAGTCGTGTGTGTGTGTTCTCCCAAGTCGTTTTGCTTTATTGGAGATCTGCTCATTTATTATTGTGTGTCTTTGACCACCTTGTGTTGTGGCTGTGGAAGTGGAGGGGAACTGCCACAGCTCTAACCCAAAAGACCTCAGAAACAGAAAGGTGGAACTGCAAAAATGAAACTGTCTTTTGGAGCTATGATTTATACCGGTGTTTCTTAAATCACTTCCAGCCCACAAATGACCATGAAATTCAATGTTTCTCCCCATAACGTTCTCTTCAGATGATCAGTCTTTGCTGCCTGTTCAGCATGTAGTAGTAATACAAGAAATTAATTCCCTCCACTTAGTGAAAATGCAGCTTATTGCACTGCACTTCAGCTGTGTTGGGTTTGTTGTTTATCTTGGGGGCAAAATGGGGAATACAGAGAGAGGAGACCCTGCTAATATGTTTATGCCATGTCACAGCGTTGCAAGCCAATTGATTATGTGATGGCCAGGATTAACCAACTTTAAGTTCCTAGTCAAAAATTGCCAGCACCAGGCTCTGGAGAGATGTGATATGGGCCCATTTGAACAAGGGGCTGCTCGAGGACTTTTACTTCTTACATTTGCTGCCTGTGGACTGCTGTGCTTGTCTTGCCCACCCTTGGGGTGCTGTTAGCCACAGTTACAAATTACTTGTCCTGAATCGAAGCTCCGAGAGAGAGAGGTCTCTTGGGAAGTGCTAAAACCATTGGGAAGCTTAAAACAAGAACCTTGACACCCCTGGAAACACGGGGTGAGGTGTGGTCTGTGGCCAGCACAACTGTTTTTAACTGTTTTCAGGCTGGTGTGACACTTTGTTTAAAGGAAAGAACAACTCCTGTGTTGTGCATGGCTTTAAAGAGTGGACTGGGGTGTAAAAGATAGGTGAGGATTAACTGAAAAGGAACTGATAACCTGCTTTGTCTTAATATTTTTTTTTTTTTTTTAAAGTGAAAACTGTCTTCACGCCCAGGAGCCCTTGTTGCTTGGGGTTCAGTCTTCTGTAGGCGGGATCCTACCCTGCAGTCAGACAGCCTTCAGCCTGCTGATTTTCATGAAGAAATTCTTGTTCTGAGGGTTTGGACCTCTAAAATTGAGGTGTGGTCCCCTATCTCCAGAAAGCACATCGGAGATCTCCCAGCTTTTAAAGCAGGGCCCTGTTTTTTGCTGTCGGTGTGGTGACTTCTGAGCTGTGACCTGTTTGCCTGCCTGCCTGGAGAGCTGGGTTGTGTCTCCTGAGCAGCCAGCCTGTTTGTGGCACTGTGAGAAATCTTAGGGAGCAGGGGTGATGAAGGTTATTTAACTAACACTCTCATGCTGGTTTCTAGAGGTTCAGTATTTACAGAATAGTTAAACACTCCATAATATACACCTCTGGATTAATACTGTTGTGCTGGGCTGGGAATCTGCTGTTCCTGTTTATTGCCATCCATTCTGAACTTCTCTTTGAGGACTTGGGCTGTTGTGGAGCATGGCTGGCAGGAGCTGGAGCTAAACCTTTTGTCCCTTTGCAACTGGACAGTGAATCTCCCTCGGAGAAGAGCCTCACGTGTGTCAGCTCCACCTTCCATCCCCTCCCTGCTGTGGGATTGCTGCTTCCTCAGCTCAGTCCAGCTCTGCTCCGCCTCCCTGCTCTCCAGGGTGGTGGGCAGGGAGCCAGTGCTGCTGCCAGAGAGCCACAGTTGGAGGTGCCTTGTGCTACACAAGCAGGACATGCCCACGGGCTTGTCCACTGCTGCAAAACTGGCTTGAAATTCAGGGCTGGTTTGTGTGTGCACATCTCTGAGAAGCAGAGAGGCCTCGAGCAAGCCGGTGATTTACAGAGGTCACCAGCACAAATCCTCTGCGTGGGTTGTGTTTTCTGTGTCCCAGCAAGTTTTAACAATGATTACGAGCAGTGTGTTAAATGTGTGATATATTGCTCTCCTCTTTCCTGTACATCATGTCTGCTTGCACCCCCCCCCCCTCCATTCTGTCCTCTTTATTTTTGTTACTTGAAACAGAAGGTTAATAACTTGGAACCTGAAGGCACATGGCCAAGAACTGATCCAAGCACTACTGGATTTAAAAAAAAAAACCAAACAAAACAACAAACCAAACCAAAACACAAAAAAAAATCCAAACCTGCCTCAAACCTTTAATCTTTGCTAAACTGTCACAGTTTGATGCAGCCTATATTCCTAAAGAGCTTCACCCTAAACACTGCAAGCCAAAGGTTGTGAAATCTTGGCAAATCTCCAAGATGATCTGTGGGAGGGATATTACAGATCCACTCTCTGGGAGGGAAAATGCAGCAGCCCTGGACTTACCTTGTGGGTGGGGAGTGGGATGTGGCACTGGAGATCTCTGTTTGGGGAGCCTACATCTTGTTTTCCTACAGCCCAGCCCTCATGTGCAGCCAGTGCAGTGAAACACCAGCCCAGGAGGGAGAGGGGGATGCCCAGGGGACGGCTGCTGCCATTGCCAGCACAAGAGCACAAATTAACCTCCTCGGCAACAGAAGCCTTTTGTGAGTGTCTCCCGTGAGGGAGCTGGCTGCCAGCTCGTTCCCCTCTGCTGCCTTCTCTTCCCCAGGCGGCAGCAATGTTACAGAAAGGTTTTTAAAAAAGAAGAAAAGCCACTTAGTGGTCAGGGTGATGGTGTGCCTGGGCTGGAGGGTGTGTAGCTGCTGCTGACAGGAGATGGGAGGGTGCCCGTGCAGCCAGGGTGTCCTGTGGGCAGTGGGAGAGGCTGTGGCCAGAGGCAAAATCAAGCCCAGCCAGGGGCTGAGTTTTGGAGCAGGGGGAGCATCTTCCAGAGTGAGTAATTCAAACCAAATCCCTGGACCAAGACTGATCTGTGTCCATGCCTCATAAAGGTGTTTTGAAACAAGTCTCCTGTTGCTTTTTGTGTGCTGGGGCAGTAAACTGTGCATGAGCCCAGGCCCCACCTTTGTACGTGCTGGGAAGCTGCAGGCAGACATACAAACCTCTGCCACTGATGGAGAGATGTGGATGGCCTGAGACTGAAAAGAGCAACCTGACCCTGTGTGCTGCTTCCTAGAAGCAGGGGGGGGCATCAGGCTGGTCTCCATCGCCCCGCGGAGGTGAGGGAAGAGGGAGCTGGCAGCGGGGATGCTCCAGCCCAGGAGGGAGCCGCGTTCCACGAGGTGGCAGCAGGGCCCCTCTTTCCTGCGGGGAGACATGCCTGCTTTAGGTGACAAGCGGAGCAGATCCTGGAGAAGACCCCAATAGCGTGAGTCAGTCCAGTGCTCCTGCATGCCTGAGAGCATCCCTGGCAAAAAGTCCACTCTCCAGGCAAGGAAAAAGACCAGCAACAACAAACTCTGATGGTGAGAAGTAGGGATCATGTGTTAACACAGAACAGCACCTACCCCTAGAGCTGCCTGTCCCTGGAAGTTGTACTAGATGTTATTTCTCAGCTTTAACAGGAATAGCTGTCCTGTCTGCACTGGCAGGTCAGGCTGCATCACTTCCCTTTCCATCACCCTGAAAGGGTGATTTTTAAAGCCGGTCTGTACAATACTGTGTTTATTTCTGGCAACCCCATAAATCAGGATGGTGGAGCTTCCCTGGGGTTCCCCATAGCACCCCAGCCCTGGGAAGAGAGTGGAGCTTAGTTCTGTTGTCCAGACAGGCTGGCTGGACCCCCTGGCACACAGGGCTGGGGGCTCGGGGGCAGTTAGGATACCACAAATGGGGGCCAGAGCCTCTA